AACCTTTCGGTGATCCTCCAGAGATTTTGTTAAAAAATATATATTTAGAAAACTTCTGTGTATTTTGTAATATCCAGGGATTTAGGAGCAGGCAACATTTTCCTTGCTCGGTTATTTATAAAATAAAGATTATCTTTGGTTAGTGACAGGTACTTCCCAGAATTTTCTTCTAACAAGTCTTTAGTTAAATCTTTAGTTCTTCAGTCAAAGATACTGTAAGCATTGTTTTGTCTAAATATTGCATTAGAAGTAAATCAAATTAATAGAACAATGATTTAAAATGATGAATAAAATTGCTGTTATGGCTGCCATTAGTATTTCCTTGTACTAAGCAGGAAAAAGATGGAAGGTTATGTAACTGCAAGAGATTTTTTTTTTCTCATCTTGGAGGCTTGTTGCAAGAAAAGACCACTGGATTGTAAGGTTGCACAGTACAGATGTACTGAAGCTGCCCAGTCTAGATGCTTTTGACAGCTTGATCCTTTTATTAAACTACTACTTAAATGTAGCCAACACTTGCATCTCTTGATGTGACTTTTTTGACGTCAGAAGAGATTATTGCCAAGAGATTGAGGTTGCACAGGAATTTTACTATTATTAACTTCTGATTTCTTGACTTTGTAAACCAATATTAATTTGCGTGCGTCTGTGTATGTAAGGGTGTGTGTCTGTAATAAAATCCCTGTGTAATTAGCTGTCCATCTGTCCATTTATCCGAGAAATGTGTTTTCTCCCACTATCTCTGTATACATGGGTAATTATACTGTACTTACATATATTTTTTGTTAAGTACAAAACAACCACAAGTTTTTAAATTTAAATTTATAGTTACTAATAAAGAATTTTGTTAGTGCTGAAAACTTATTATACTTAAAAAATTATGCATTATGTCTGAGTCAATAGATCAGATCTCAATTACTTTATCACAATTGTTTGGCTGCAAGGTGGCTAACATTGTTAATTAACAACCTTGCATCATGATCTATTTAATGAGGTATCTCAAATAGAACACTTACAACGGCAGCGGTTTATAGATTTGGGAGCAAGCTATAAAATGCTAAAATACAAAAATAGCATTTGCCAAAGTTAATTTGCTACTGATCTGGTCAGTTTGTATGGTATATAAAGACAACATGTAGCCAGTATTGGAGTCTTGTAAAATATAATGTAGCAAGTCAGACATGAGTCAAATGGTCATTTTTTGGACTGATTTTACACAATAGTTGTTTTTTGTCCCTCTCTCCCTCCCTCCTGTCATTCCCCTGATAGTTAAGGCAATAACTGGGTGTGTGGATTAATCAGACAAGTGTGCTGAATAAGGCTAAGAAAGCTTGAAGAGCTGAGTCAAGCCTATCCCTAGGGATGCCTAAGCCTTTGGCATCTCTCCTTTTTGCTTCTGCTTGTCACGAGTGTAATTTCCTCAACGGTTCAGGTTCACAGATGATGAACATGATGTTTTCCCTGAAGAAGTAACCATAGTGCTGGATGTGATATTTCACAATGTGCTAGAGAAGGTTCAAGGGGAAGCATAGATTGCTTGGAGCTGTGTCTGACAGATGATGAAGTATAAAATATCAGAGAAAAAATGTGGACTTCTCTGCTTAACTCTATACCTACGTTTTTCATGTTCTACCTCAGACTCAATTGAGGCACACTGTCTGCTAGAGATTTTTGTTTGTTTTTAGAGTATTTTTAGTGGAGGGTGGATGGAATGCCCTGCTATTTAACTATACTGGGGCTTTGGCCTCTATTTTCGACCATTTTGGAAGAATAAGATACTTCTATTTCCCCGTATAATTTTAATTGTGGTTTTGAAGTGATCCATTTACTTAAGAAACAAACTAATGTTGAAGGATCCATTTAGTGTAGTTAAAGTTAATTTGCGAGTGAATCTGGCCATAAACACTTTATTCACATAATTTCCCTTTGTATAACTTAACTTGTAGATATTGTTTACTAATAGGACTGTTTCTTAGCCTCAGAATAGATGTCTTAAATGAAAACAGGCAGCTACTTGGGGAAGAAAAGACTCCAGATGAAGGCCTTTGCTAGATGCAGGCATTATTATGAACTCAGCACTTATCTTTCCTGTTTAGGCTGATGACTGGAAAGGCAGTGTGCCTAACAGTGAGCCAGCCAGCACACATGTAGCTTGGCAGCAGCAACAGAATTGTGCTGCTTCATGCACAATTGGCTATAGGAAGATAAATGAGGGAGCCTCAGCTTCACTGGGGATGATAAGAGGATATGGTCATGGATTTGACACTTCTTTGGTAGAGGAACACTTCTGAGAAAAAGGAGGAAAAAGAAAATTCAGATTTTCAGCAGCGGAAGTGGCTTGGGATGTAGGATGCAAGATTGTGCTAAAATAGTTTTACCGTCACTAGAACGGCTTGTTCCTCCTAACCTTGAGATTTAGTTTGAAACTTTTCATCTGTTAAGGACAGCTCATTCTTGCTGGTGTCTTGAAATAATCAATTATCTTAGTACTTTTGTTTCAAACATCTTAATTGTTTGTTCTTTTTTAGGAAGTGCCTAGAGTATGAAAAATGTGCTCAGTATTTGAAGTTTGCTCTTTCTCAGAGTTCCCTTCAGAAAAAAACTGTCAGACATTCTTGCTGAATATCAGACTTTTCTTGTTGAGCAAATGATTACTAGTGCTTTAAATACCAGGAAACATTATTTTTTTCTGTTGATTCTGCATTTTCTTTTTTTTAATGTTAGATAATTTTGTACAAAGAAATTGTTGCTTTCCAATCCCATAACAGACTGATCTGAGGGGCCATTTTCTCATTGTTTGTATAAGATGTGTAATAATAGTTTTAACTCGTAGTATCCATGTTCGAAGCATACTTGTATAATTCACTTATGTTGCTTGCATTTAATTGTGCTGAGAATTCTGAAATCATTAGATTACAAAATATTTTGCAATTAATTTTAATAGGTCTATTAAGTATTGCTGCATTGCAAAATGGTTCTGTGTTAGTCCTCACTTTCTTTTGTGAAATCTTCATGAAGTTATAACTTTATTTTTATTTCTTGAGTTCTTTATTTTTTATACTTACTCTTCAAGTTTCTTTCACAGGTCTTATTACTTTACTTTTCAGTTTACCTTTGTGTATCAAAAAATGGCTAATGCTAAGTGGTTTTTGTGTTTTCTTTTTTTATCTCTCTCTGAAGTTTGTGTTGAGGATAAAGAAATCTGATGTCTTTATATTAATGTAATTTTGCAGACTTCAAGAACCAAAAGTACAAAACAATTGCATCTAAAACATAGGTCTCATTTTCTGGACATTTCTAGAGAGTTGTTGCTCTGAACAAAATAGCTGGTTCTGGGTCAGCAAGGGATTCACTTCTGAGTTTCTCATTACTGTGTTATTTTGTTTCTTCATTGTAGTATTTGGCAATTCTTCTTTGTTATAGAGTATAACATTCATGTTTGTCTTGTTTTGTGTTTCAAATGATGGGGTTTTAACAAATTAGAAAAAAGTGTTTGAGAAGACTTCTTTTAAATATTTGTGATAGTGAATTTGTATAGAACTATTAATAAATTATAATAATAGCAGCTCTGAGAATCATCTGGTATGAGTAATATATCATCCTCAATGGTAAAAGGAAATTAAAGACCTCTTCTACTGTTTTTATCACTATGGCCAAAGCACTTGTAAACAAAGCAATATAAGTCTGTATTGTATAGTGGAGGAGAGCAGTATTTTGGAAAAAAAATGAATGTATGTTTCAATGAGTCTTCAGAAAATGTAACTGCTTTGGCAAAATTCATTTTAAAGAAAGGAATCATTCAGTCTTTGCTTGCCCCTGGAGAAACTTGTTCATATCACTGAAAAAGCATGCACTTTCCTCAAATATGTTAATTTAATTTAAGCAAGGTTTATATTTTATGGAATACCAATTTCAGTACAAATATTAATTTGGCTAAATTGCACAACCTGTAGGATGTTTTGAGTTACACTTGATATAAGCAGGTAAGAAGCTTATATGTATACTTAACAGGAAAAGAACAACATGGAGTGTGTAGCGCAGTAACAGATAATGCTCTTATTTATGTCTGCTATGCAACTAGGGTGACTTTAATAACATATGTTTTGGAAGAAGACAAGCTGGACGGGGTATTTATATATTGTTTCTAAAGGCAAAAAGTGCAAGGCAAAGGTAAAAGTTTCAGGTTCCACCTGTGATTTTAAAGCCCATTTTGGAGGTCAATGGGGAAGGCAAGGTAGGTAGAATGTGGATTTACTCCTGTTAATTCTCTGTGGAATAGATTGTGTTTCAGAGGTCTTATTTACCATTGTTACTGTCCATAAAGATGTGTTCCTTTTGAATTAGATGAATTTTAGTGCACTTTCAACTTAGACATGTTTCTTGAAGCTCTTTTCTCTGAATTGTCCAGTCTTTGAACCCTTTTTGGCATCTGTGACACTTCCCAGATTCCACAGATCAAGGATCCACTGCATGCAGAATCTGTTAGCTTCATCTGTTACCTCCTGTTCCTATTTTTGAAAAGTTAGTTAGCAAAAGTTAGTTAGATCAGACAGTATTAAAGACATAGATAAACACGAATGTGCACAATGGTAGAATGCTTACATTTCCTAAGTATTCCTTAACATTTCATTTAATTTGACTTTTACCAAACACCAAAGTAACATTTTCACAGAACTACACATGCTTTACTATCTGTCAGTTTTACATTAGCATCTTGGTAGATAGCAGAGAAATGCATGCAACTTAAATACATAGGAACAGTATATATAATATTGAGGCTAAGGAGGAAGGAGTAGGATCGCATCTCCGAAAGTTCTTTGGCATTTCATTTATGAAATGAGTGCCAAAAGATTACCCCCCCACACACTACTCTTCATTGCAGAAGGATGATAAAAATGTAACTGGAAAGAAGCATCAGGTATGCTCACAGTGAAAGATTTAAATCAGCCATTTAGTCTCATGGATAAAGCATCTGAGATCTTTCAGAATGACGAAGCATCATTCAGTTCTTGAAATCAGCATCTATTTAGATGATGGTCCTTATGACACTACACCTTCTCTATCCTCCTTGCTATAAATACTGTATCTGTATTTTTAGGATGTGTGTACTTCTTCTAACATGTTGTCTACTACATTAATTCTTACGGTAGAAACTGCCTTATTATCTTTTGAACTCAGCCACATCCTCTGACACACTGAACCTCTGATCTGCTACCCAGTTTCTCTGTCCTTCAGCCTTGGTTTCTTTTGATTCATCTGAAAAAAATTAACCATTCAGAATCAATAATCAAAATAAAAGATTTATCCTCTGGCATTCAGTCTTGTAGATAAAAGGACTGTTCCTTCAAATGGAAGAGCTGTTCATTTGCTTATACTCTCTTTCTTGTCTCATAATTATCAACTGGAGGACTTCTCCTCCTACCTCAAGGTTGTTGGGGTTCCTAGGCAGCCTTAACAAAGGAAGCTGTCAAAGACTCTGGGAAGAAGAAGTGTACTATATCAACCAGATCACCTTTATCCACAAGTCAGCTTCTTCAAGGAAGTCTGGTAAGCTTTGCCAAACCCTTCCAGATGAATCACCTTAAGCAGCTGGTAATACTTTACTACGATTTCTATGTAATTTGTCTATTACAGAAACCAGGCTTACAGATCTGTATCCTTGGAGCTTTTCTGAAGTTTTTTTTAAAATATGATGTCACGTTTTCCATTTTAGTTCTCAGGTACTAAGCTGCTTTTGGCGAAAAGCATGAATAACGGTTCACTTGTTTCATCATTAAGTCACCTTAGACACTTGGGTGAGTGTCATTTGGTCTCTCTGGTGGGTTACAGTTCTTTTCATCTTATTGTTGGATGAGTTGCAAGAGAATCCCTTTCATTCTCCCTTCATAAAGGGGAATCCTTTATGAAAATCAGTTCAGAGAAGTCATTTAGCCTGTCCAGCCTGTCTAGGTCCCTCTGAATGGCAGCACACCCCTCTGGTGTATCAGCCACTCCACCTAGTTTTGTATCATCTGCAAACTTGCTCAGGGTGCTCTCTGGGGTCCCCTCCTGGGACCTGGTGACAGCACTTTGTTTAGTATTCCTTTTATTCTGACTATCAGTTGGTCCTACACACTCTGTCAGTCTGATGTGTTGGAAGAATATAATTTGTTTTAGCTTTAATCATCTTTGAAGTAGCGCTATACCCATTTAGATACAAGAGGCTGAATCATGTCAGCATAAGTGAAACAGAACATAGTTAAAAGCATAAAAAACTTCTGTGAGGGTTTTTTTTTTCCCATGGTATGTTAATTACAAATTAAAATCTGCAGCTTTAATGCTTGTGATCTGGTTAATTCTCAGTGAAAGTAAAAGAGATTCTGAAATGTCTTTGGTAGTGGAATTAGAGTAAATTTATTAACACTCATTAAGCAGATCCCTGAAACAGATTTCCTGGCATAATTTCATACTGATAATTACCAGACCCGTAGCCTCCAAAAGATAGGAAGTAGAATCTCCACAGACAACAGTTTGTTCTTGTTGATGATAGCAAGCATATCTGAGATCTTGGGAAATTAGTTACTCTGGGTCTTGGTCATACATGCATGTTTAGTCACAGGTCACTGTGTCACTAGTCAAAGAACATGCTAGTCTTATTATTTCTGGAGTAGTTGAGCACAGAGACAAAAAGATTATTTCTGGTTTCTGAACCTCCAGAATTATTTAGAGCACTCTGGGTCCAAATGTGAATTTGCCAAGATGTTTGCTTTTCAAATCTTCTACTTTCATAGAATAGCTGCCAGTCAGGCCGCAGAGTACCAACTTTCTGACTGTAGAAACTGGTGTCGATGTTTTAATTGTGAGTTATTTGGTTTTGTATAGTTAGAGGTCATGAAATCTCTCTATAAACTTGCTAAAGTTACTTGTTAGTTTTATTACCCACAATGGTTATTACTTGGCATACTCAGAAGGCATTTCCTTCTGCATGGATTTTAGATTTACTGAGCGCATAGCTTGGGATAGAGAAGCCTTGCAGAGTTTGGAGTCATTTTTGTCAATGACAGAATCACAATTTTCAAAACTTGCAAATAGTGAACTGCAGTATAACAGCTGACATAGTAATACATGTATATAAACAAATGGCTTGATTCTTGGCAAATATTCTTGGCTCTTTTCGGGCCTTCTCTCCTGTCAAAGTTCTTTAAAATGGTTACAACTTTTCTTACTTTTATTATTTTCTTAATTCCTCTCTTATTCTCATTTCTGGAAGGAGTCTGCATCATTTTCATATATCTGTAGAGACTCATTTAACTGTCTAGCTTAGTGGCAATATATGCTGGATTTTAGGCGAGTGAGTTATTGAAAATATAGTAACAATTATAGGTCTTCTAAGAGAAGGAGAGACAATCACATCACGTAGTCTTGTCTCCAGTGTTTTGCAGGCTGTTCTCAATTTTCAGTAAAGCCAAAAAAGGATCAGTACAGCTTTTGTGTGGCTTTTCTTGTCTGAACACCAACATCACAGTAATTGCAGTGTGATTTAGATTTTTTTTTAATTGTCTATAGTGAGGGCTCTTTAAGTGCTATCCAGGTACTTTTTGAAGCCCAGATGGTAGTATTTTTTTGTTGTTCTAAAGAGCAAAATGTAAGATACGGAAGAAGAGTCCCCGGTCTAGAAGCTGGGAGAACTCTTCCTCTTCCCCTCTCCCCCATGCCGTGCATGCCGAAGGTATTTGATTGACAAGTGTTCCACTGTTTCCCTGAAGTGCTGAATTTTGTACTTGTGCTCAGTAAGAGTGCACCATGCACCATGGAAAACAGGTCCTGGAAACAAGCTGTGATCAGCATAGATATTCAAACAGTTCTCTTCTGGTTCCTTAGACCTATTTGTAAGTCTAAGCTACAGAGCAGACTGGGACCAATTCTGTTCCCTTGACCACCACTTTTTGATCTCCCTTTGGTAAGAGGAAGGGTCTTGGTCCCTGGTGAAACCTGCCCATCTACTGGGGACTGTGGTTACTGCTAGACTTTCTGATTTTCTCCTATGAATTATGCAGGTTGGTAGCCAACAGGCTATGATCCAGCTATGGGTTTGTCATCTCTCTCTACAGCTGCATGTGTGGTTACACTAGACTCAAGACAAACCGTTTCTGTCTGCTGTTGGATCTTGCAGATCTTGCTGATTTTTGATTAGAGTGGCTGAAGCCTTCTTTGAGTGCCAAAAAGGATGGATTTATCTCAGAAAAAAGTTAGAAGTAACACCTCACGCAATGTAGGAAGACTTCAGTGATCTCTGATGTTAATCCAGGTCCCTATTTCTTGAATATAGTGACTACAGTCTTATATTCTTCCTTCATAGATTTTTTGTGAGGCTTCTGCTGTTTTTTTAATGCAAACGTAATTCTCTAATAGAATTATAAGGACTAGGAAAAAGTATTCAAGTTAATTCATGTTCTGTTGTCTCCCTCCAGATACCTCTATAGGATTTTCTTTTAAGTGTAAGATTAAACTAATAAGTTTGACCAAAATATTATAAAATACTTAGCACAGTAGTATATACCTGGATCTCTTTCATAAAAGTATTTATAAAAGTGCTTTAATAGCATGGGTACTGATGAATGCTTCTGAAAACTAGATTAGCATTAACTCATATATAAGAGATTTTATAAGAAAGCAGAGGAAGATAGAAGAGGCTGCTAAATGCTCACAAGCTGTCATATATACATATACTTATATAAAAAGAAGACAGTGTAAATGCTCATAATGGATTTACCAGGAACACAATGGAGCTGCTATAAAATCATTCATAGATACATGATATATGATACATACATAGATACTAGATACAAAGAGAAGTGACACAAAGTTGGTGAGAAAAAACCTTTCTCTTCCGAAAATTGGAAGTCTCAAAACTTTTCATACTTGTTTCGGTTTTATCCTGCATAACACCAAATGGCTAAAATATAATTACACATTACACTCTGGAGATCACCTTTTAATTTTGATGGGATCATTTTGCAATGTCTGGACATAGTTGCGAAATTTCTCAGAAAGACAAAAGGGTCCGCCTCCTGGGACTTTCAAATTTTTAGACCTAGTATAGATGGAGTAGAAAACAGTGAAGAACAGCAGTGACAGTAATGTGAAAAATGTGCAATGAGAGTCCTGTTAATAAAGCTAGAGCCTTAAGAGTCATATATATTACTAATGTTCAAACTTCACTGAGTTGTAGTTGGAAGGTTGCTTGAATGGTGACCTTAAGAGCTTTTAGCTTGCAAATTAATGCCAAGGACAGGTTGAAAATTGTGACCTTTTTATTATTCAGGCCTTATATGTCTGAAATAATGGATATTCTTCCCTTTCTTTATTTAACTGAAGTTTTATGAGTGCCAGGTATATGAAGCTGAGTATAGAAGGAGGAGAAAACCTTCTTTTGCAAAATTGCTGATTGTTTCAGAGGGAAAACTGAGTGTATCTTGATAGCTCTTTGTTGGATGAAGGCAGGAGGGAAAAAACATTTTGTTCTAAAACAGGGAAAATTTTATTGCAGTTTGTTTGGATCATTTTGACCTTTGGCACTGTGCAAGGTCAATGCTCAAAAATGTTTAGTTTGATTTCAAATATTACTTTACAGAAATCCAGCTTCTGGACTAGCTTCATCATGGTGTTAAGAGGAAGGCTACAAAAAACCTTCGTTGCTGTCAAGCCTGCTTCTGCCATTATGTCAAAGACGTATACAGGAAGAATAAAGTGCGTGCTAAAATTACAGACAGTACAGAATGAACTAAAGTTTAAATGAAGCTCTCGCTGTGCTTTTGGAAAAGAGAAGATGAATGAGCAGCAAAGATGAGCTTCGTGCTCATCCAACCAACTGAATAAAAAAGTTCCTTTCGTGTTTTTTTACAAATTGCTCATGTCCAATGGTTTTTGTCAGGGGAGCCCTTTTTGTTTGTTTGTATTGAACTAGAAAGAATAACAGAATGAATTTGTCCCACAACAGCTGCAAGGTGCTAAACAGATAAAACC